TCTTTTAAGTTTCAGGCTGTAGCTAGCCTGAAATTCTTATGTGCTACTTTCTAGGCTGGCAAGACTTAATCAAATGGTTAAATCTATGGAAAATTGAGACAACTAGGAAAAGCTTCAGTATGCATTAAGCACTGCAACACCTCATTTTTGTTCCAGAAACTATTAGGTGACAGCTTGGAGGAACAGCTTATGAAAACTTGCTAATCACATTTATATACTTTTAAATCTCCAAGTGTTTCTCACTGTTGGGTTTTTATACTGCAAGTTAGGGATGAGATCCAGCACAGTTTACAGCACCAACACACTTCTGTACTGTAGAATGAAGAGCTTAATACTGCCCGTTTACTTATGGGGATTTTTCTTCAGCACTATCACAATTCTACGTTACTTACAAGTTAGGTGTAGTTTTAGCACAGTTTCATGTAAAAAGCAATATATGATCACCATCTACTTCTATGTTTTTGTCTTCCTTTTTCTTTTAAATAGGAGAACAAAAGCCTTCGTCTTCATTCTCATTTTCTTGGCACAATTGGGGTTTTTTTGGGACACTGGGACGTTTTGTAATAGCAGACAAAGGGTAATTTGCAAGCAAAGGTATTCCTGTGGCACGCCAGGCTATTTCTCTAAGGTGCACTTAAGCATCAACGCTCATTTGAATGGTATCCAACAGAAATATTTCTTTTTAAGACCACTTTTTTTTCAGTAACTGACCTTAAGACATTGTTTTCGCAATGTCTGGTATAGAACGCAAATTTAGAAGTGTTCAGTCTTACAGTATCAGTATCACTAATTTTGTGTGCCTACAGAAGACTTCTAGGTAATTCTAAACCATATATATTATAAAAATATCAAGATGACAATGGGGCTTTACAGTTTTTAAGTCTGCCAGTAAGAAAAAAATGGTCCCAGTACATCTGATGGATTGGATGGGGTAGTTTGTTTTCAGAACTACCCTACGAATCTTTAAGATTTAAGTTTTAAAATAAAATTGAAAAAAAAGCTGTGGGAAGTTCATTTGAAGTAAATGGAAAGACTCCACCTTGCACTGAAATGAATACATCTGGTCTCTAGAACTGTAAATCATACTTCATGTCTACTGAAATGAGAGAAGGAATTTGGGTTAGTACCAAGCAACTCAGGATAAGTTGTCTAGCTGGATACTAATGATGGGAGTAAGTCAGAGTTTGAACAGATTCTGATTTAAGATACAGATAAGTGGATTTGCAGTAATCTAATTAAGATAATTCTCTCCCATATCTTAAAATACTTTTCAACTCTGTCCCTGCTACTGAGCTTTATTTCTCTACTACATGAAGGTAGTGTATCTTACCACATAAATACAGTCTTGATTTTTGTTTTTCTATCCTTCTCTCCCACCCCCTTGTTTTAAGGAGGAAAGCAATCCAGTACTAGAATTCATATCAATGTTTAGCTCACCTCTTTTTGCTACCACTCCACCTGCAATTATCTTTCCAGGAAAACAGCAATGCAGAATGATTAACATTTAGTACCATTTATGTCCACATGGGAGTGCTAAGCATATATAAAAATGTCAGTTTACAGAGTTTCAAATCCACGATCATTTCTGGGATTAGGATTCAGCACTTTAGCATTTCTTTAAATGCTAAAAATAACCTTTTAAATCCAGGTTTAAATTTAGGTGGGGCATTTAAGAAAGCTTGTTTCATAAATGCAAAGTTCCAACAGCACTTAAGTCATACTGATACCCCAGGTGTACAAGTGGAGTGCCTTTTTTTAAGTGTCTGGGGCATTCAACATATAAATGCTCTTCAGCAGAGAGGAGCATCTTATTTATAGTCACAGTACAGGTGCAGCTCATGTGACATCTGTAAGAAAGACTATTCTAACTCAAGGGAAAAAATAATTACAGTGATATACTACAAAACATTTGGTATATATAGCCCCCAAAAAGCCTACAATCAAGTCATCAGTATGCTAAGTGAAGTCCAAGTTTCTCCTGTTCTTTTTACCCCCTGCAATCCTCTCTCCTTTTGGGATGAAAACATGTTTTCATCTTCATAGTGTTTATTTAGAATGATCACCAAGTTCTTACAATTAATAATTTCTATGTACTAGCTGTAGTTTGTATTGGATAAACTACTATAGCAGTAAGCACTAGCATACACCATTACTTACCCCATTCATCACTTTACATGCAGGCCTACAGTCTTTAAATACATTTTACCATCCAAGTCTGCAAACACAATTTAAAACTACTAGGAGAGAAGTGGGATTTTCTGCTAATTAAGCACATACCCCCTTTTGAGGTCTTTGATATTACACAGAAAATTTAAACACTTATGGGAGGGCCGAGCCAGAACAGCAATCAAGTATTTTGAGCTAGGGTTGCCATTTAAACATTACTATTATTACAACAGAAGTTTCTATCAAATTGAGCAGTAGAATGAAAGCTCACACTGCCCAAAAGCAGAATCTTTACTTGGTTTTATCACTTCCTTATTTTAGTTTTTTTTTCTTCTAGAAATAAGCATAAGTGTAAAAAACCCCAACACCTCATCCTGCATAAAGAAATTCTACTTTGCAGATGTTACAGAAATACCACGAAGACCTGGTGGTGGTGATGCAGACAATGAGCTGCCTAGCCTATCTAACTATTTATTATGCAGCCATCAGATGAAAAACATTGTTTAAGCTTTACTTTTGCCTACACCTTTTTTTAGCATGTAATTTTCAAGGCATAGTTACCACTCTGCAACTTCTAAAAGATAGTATTACTACAAGTGGCTAGTGACTTAAAATTACCATATTTAAGATATCCCAAAGCTTAAAATTCAGTTTAAAAAAATTATGCTCTATGAAGTAGTATTGCTATATCAAGTATCTTGGGAAGATTTATAGACTGGCATTGAACAGATTCATTTATAATGATACAGAAAAAGGACTTTCATATAAATGTTTTGATACTGGCTTTTCAGCTACTCCAGGTCTGCCAGGAGCAAGGGAACAGAAACAGGTATGCCCATACACACAGGACTTACAGGGGTGTGTTTTAAGATTCCAAGAAGCTGATTTTAAACAACAAAACCAAACATGAGCAGAATTTTTCTTAAGCTAAGTTTTACCAAGGATGTACTGTAAAGAACATTGTTTATTATATTACTTTGATAATGCACAAAAATATTTGTAAATGCAAATCAAATTATATTCTTATGTACAAGTCACAGCAATGGATCTCCTTAACTGAAAAAAAAATGTGAATACTCTATTGCATTTTGTAACTTTAACTGGACATACTAAAAACAAGTTGCCATTATTTAAACTATGTTCACACTTCTCACTCAGATCAAGATATTCCTAAAATAAGCAGCATTTTCTTTATATTCGTATCACTTCAACATAATGCAGTTTTATCTTTGCTATGAAGTTTTACTGAAGATTTGAAAATAAAGCTGGAGTTAACTTCAGAAATGATTACAGAACATAAATGGTTAAACATGGTATGCTAATTTTCTACTTTGCTTTCCCAACAATACAAAACAATGAAAACCAAGGAGAACCAGGTAGTTGTTAAATCGTGGTTTTGTTACACCTTTGTGTTATGGTAATTTTTTCACATTCTCAGGCAACTTGCTTAAATAGCCATTTTAGTTGGACTAAAACCCTGGGAAAACAAGGAATCTACATGTTGCATGTGAGTTCTACCACAGCGTCATTTAATATGAACTGGTTTTCAATAATCGTTGAAGAAATGATACTATTGTAGTAGGCATTCACCTTGGCACCCTTCTGGTTGTTTGTTTGTTTTTTTTTTTTTTATTTATTTTTTAAAGTCACAGGAATGTGTGCCAACAGGTAAAATAAAGAAATGTAATGCAGAACTATGGCTCTCAAGCAAACTTGCTACATAATTCAGCAAGATATAGCTACTAAAATTTAAAAGTTTATTTTAAATATAGCCCTTTTTTGGACCTGGCATTGTATTCCTCAAGCAGGTGAGATCTGTAGGGCTTTTGCCTGAATTAAGAACTGTATGATCACTCTTT